ACACAAATCGCGGACCACCTAGACCAACACCGAGTCGCCACGCCCGCCACACGAGTCCGACCCACGTTGAGCCTATAGGCCCTCGTCAAGCCGTCGCGGTTATCCCACCTTTGGGAAAGCCAGTCATATCAACTATCACCAGGATCAAAGGGGAAAGGCGATAGAAGAAAGACAAAGCGGAGACTTGAATATTGTCTCGGATCGAAGCACGCCAGCAGGGTGCCATCTGAACAAGGTATTTTTCACACTATCCCCCAGACCTCCCACAGGACCCCATGGGCAAACTCTGTTTGACCACCTCTTCTCACTAACTTTCAACCCACACGTCAACGAGAAAACCCCCAGAGGAAGAACAAGTCAATTTTGGAACACCGTTTTCCAAACAGACGCCGCAGTCTCCCTCACAGCGCGATGGCGGCACCACCCGGAAATATCCAGCCATTGTCTTACCCGGTCATTTGCTGGGTAACAATGTTGTTCCCAGTCTGATCTGGGCCACCTGGCTGTGATAGGTAATGGAACCTGGACATCAGAATATGTGCAGCTGGCATCCAGGTGGATTTTGTATGCGGCAGGGGTGTGGATTTCAGGTGGTTATTGGCTGGAGAAAATTTCACAGTGTAAGTAGCCTAAGAGAAAATTAGATTAATCAGGAAAGGAAGCTCGACAATACCATAGTGCTGGCTTGCAGCGGCGTCCCCGAGGCAGTGGCTTCACAAGACGAGTTGAAGTCCAGGCGGCAATAGTGCTCGGGGGACAAGAGGCTAGATTGTTCCCAGGATGAAGTATGCATGGGAGACACCAGAGGGAGATCAGATACCGGCAAGCACACCACAGAAACAGGTAGCGAGGGAGACTGAGCCGAGGACAGAGCCACAGAGCCAGAGGCACGCTGAGATTCAAGAGACATGCAGTTTGGATCATATTCAAGTAGTAAAGGCCCATCCAGAGGTAGAAGAGGACATGGCCGATGTTCTACAAAGTGTAAGTATACTTCAGGGCAAGTCAGGCTTATCTTACCAGGAGGCTCAATTTCAGTGTGGATTGTAACGACCATTACTGCAAAAAGGCCGATGAGTGAACCTAGACATTGCACAATGAACTGGGTGCACTTTCAGTATTTGGTAGTGAGCAGATGAAGGCGGAAGGCAAAAAGACGCAGCCTTTGGAGCTTGTCGACGACCCTGACAGAAATGCACTGCCTCGATTGCGCCAGATTGCACCTCGATTGCACCAGATTGAGCATGAGAGTTTCTTTCCTGGATTAGGAAGAAATGCAGTGCAGATGTCGTCGGAGTTCTAACCTCAGTCAAAAAGAGGGCTGAATTTGATGAAATTTTAGCGGGTGGAGAGCTGACAAGAACAAATCCTAAAGGATATTAGGACTCATAACTCTTTCTCATTCACGATTGTGCGCTGTAGGCCTGGAAACATACGGGAATTTCTGGAAAACCTGGGAATACTATTGGAACAGGTTTCTTTTTGTCGTCTTCTATTTTGGCAGGAGAAAAAATAATTCGGGGCGCAGTGGGCGTCTTCTTTCACCGTATTGCCAAATTGATGCGTACCACATCCGGAGATGACATTGTTCGCGAGAGCGTGCTGTACTTGAAGGACTTCTTTGCCAGATACAAATGAAATTGCAGAAGTACTATGCGGTAATGTTGCTGTGACTTCGACTCCAAGTCATTTGAAGTCTAAGACTTAAGTCGCAGCTGACTTAAGTCGAGTCGAGCCGAGTCGGTGCTGCGACTCGGGTTGACTTCCAAATCAACTCGAGTGACTTCAAGTCAACTTGAAGCTCCAAATTCCCCAAAGGTGCGCTGAGTCGTTTACAGCACCAAAAAAGCAATTTCTTGAATTTTGATGGAGCGTGACCTGGGCGCGTGACACGCGGCGACATATGTCACGTCTAGTCGAGTTGAGTCGAGTCAAATCCGCGTTCAAGTCGACTTTCGAAGTCGCGACTTGAGTTTTCGAATCACGGCAACATTACTATGTGGGGGGGTTTCAAATTCGCCTGAGAAGATGTGGTTCAATTTGGCAAGTTGGCCGCACTGAATCACTGAACATGGGATGACTAACGAGAAAAAAGTTGATGAGCTAGATCTTTTCTTCCTACACCAATGTTCGTGGAAGCAGCTCAGTACCGAGGCCGGGGGTCAACTTTTGTTGATTTAGACCACAGTCTCTCCCCATCTTCAACCCACACGAGATGGAGGTAGAAGTCTCTCAACAGCACGCTGAATTTCAAGGGTTTCCCCCCCGCAGATACCGATGAAACATGTCATTCTTGGTTCCGGAATTAGGAACCAAGTTTGAGAACCGTATGTGTCTGTCCGTCTGTCTGTACTTACAAGAGCAGACGAATCAATCTGCCATGAGCTTATAAATGATCATCAACTTTTGTTGTACCCAACTACGACTCCGACTCTCTTAAAGCTTTTCAGAGCGTCCCTCAGCGCCGTAGTTACGACAGGTGGCGCGTTTGCATTCGAATCTGGAAAGGTTAATATATTTTCAAATGAGCCTTTTCTCACTGTCTCTTTCTTACTGCCGTTTTTCATATTCTGCCAGGCTTCTGAAGTCCTTGTACACTACGCTCCGTGTGTCAATTTTCTGTTCAATTTTTTTGGCTTTCCCCTGTATTTTTACTCTAGCTGATTTATCTCGCTCAGAATTATTGCCGAATTTTGGGCTTTCAAGTTCCTTCCTTTTATTCAATATTTTCGATGTCCCGCGAGCAACGACTTGCTATTGTCGCAAGTTCCTTACGTTTTCAGTCCATATATTACTGACCTCACTTCTAGGTGTCATATTTCGACTCCCTAGAGCCATCTGCTGCGGGGCTCGATTTTTAGAAGTCCCGCGAACAGCCTCTCCACAATTCCTGTTCCCACACAGTCGTGTCCCATCCTCGCGTTTGCAACGCGCAGCACCATTTTCCTTCTACTTTTCAACTTCCCGCAACCAGAACTCAAGTCCCCCTCACGCGTTCGATTTTTTTTTTCGATTTCTGGGAGTCTCCCGACCTGCAACAATCTGATCCTCCCTCCCACCCTCACTTCTTACAGCGTACAGCGCTGCTTCCGAAATTTCTATTGCATTTTTGGGAGCCCTGCGACCGCGATACCTGAATCCAACCTCCATTGATCGCACTTGTTCGTGTCTCGGCTCCCGTCAAAACATTCAACGATGCGCAGCGATGCAGTCGATGTTCTTCTTCTTTTTTCGAAAACTCCGTCGGCCCGCGGAACTTCTATCCGATATTTCGATGTCCCGCCAACCGTTCTACCTGGTCATTGTTCTGCCATTTGCCAGGCGGCACGCCACGCTGCGATTCCATTTATTTTTCGATTTTCGGCCATCTCGCGACCAACCTTTCTTATTCGCGATGAGTACCAGCCCCGCGAACATACCTACAGTGAACACTTGCTCCTTTTATCTACTACTTAATTAATTCGATTCTACAGTTCCCGCGACCTTACAGCCTCAAATTCTACTCCAGGAATTCCAAATTTCGCTTTCCCTCGATCGACGCAGCCCCTTGTTTCATGTCCTTCTCACCAGGCAGACTCGATTTTCCGAACTCCTGTTACGCTCCCGGTGAAAAACCCCGACTTCAAAGCCTACGAAGTCCAAATCAAGCTATTGCTTCCCGCAACCGACGCAGCCCCGTCTTTCAAGTATTTCTTACTGCGCACATTTGATGGTCTGAGGCCCCGCGACCCTGTCAGCTCAAAAGCGATGCTTCTGAATCAACTCGGGCTGTTGACTTCCCGCGACCGAGCTACTGAGTTGGTGCACCATTCTGCTGATTTTGCGCGGTTATCTCGGATCTTCAACTGCGATCTCAAACTTGATTTTTTGAATTGCCGCCACCACTTGCTTCAAATTTCGCGCTGAGAGCTCAAAAAAATCGAGATCTCGCCGTCCCGCCCCGCTGTCTTTCTAACGCGCTTTCTATCCGCTTTGATTCTTTTTCTCTCGCCTCGCCGAACTAAATGGACGCGACTTTGGGATGTACCTGCTCCTTTAGACACACCTTGCCCGCCAGCTTGCGTGCCTTTCGGTCAATCCCGGACTTGGCTTGCCGCCGGTCAATCCAGATGCGTCTCCTGCGACTTCAACATGTCTGTCGCATCACGTCTCTTGCACATCAGCGTGCTAATCGTCAAAGGGTCGTCTTTACTTGCAGCACATTCTAGATTTCAAGGCCCTCGCACGCCAATGGCAAGAACACCAGACAATACAAGCAGCAAAATGTGTCAGCATTAAAGACAACACCGGCGACTCCCACACCGCTGCCGCGGAATCTACCACCCGACGTCAAACAAATCCTTCAAAATTTTTTTCATGAATTCCGCCAACGTCACCACTGCTGTTTCTTCCATTGCAACCCAGCCAGTTGCCACTGGTAGAGTACAACATTGTATGACAATGACTGATATCTATCTGCGTTAGGCTACGACACGCCGTACGAAACTGTGCTGAAAATCTTACATTTGACATCAACGGAAATTGTCTTTTTTGCCGTACCGATAGCCGCTACCTTCTCACATATCCGCTCCATTCCATGAAACGTTTGCGGTGCGGTAGCCCCACGCAGCTTCATCATCGCATTCATCGTACATATCTATTTATATTTTAACTTCCACTTTTAACTGCCGAAGGCGCAAACGGACTTGCTGCCATTTGGTTGCCATGTGTATGTAGTGGCCCTCAGCCCAAGTAACAAATACATGGTGTCCGAATTGTTTATGAACAGCTCAGCCCAAAGTAAACCATGCAAAGCTGTGGAGGAACCAGGTCGGCCCGGAGGGCTATGCTACTTGAAGGTCCATTGAAAACACCGAGGCGTTGTTGATTAATGTATTTATTCCCTCATGTGCACATCATCAATTAAGAACCCTTCCACTTCTGCCTAGGCATAAGGTTGCATATTGACAAGAGAGTGAACACTCCGAGTAGTTATGGAACATTCAAGGAAGACGTACTAAGCCCTAGTTGGTTAATGGTAAATCACCCACTCAATGTATTGCAGGCAGGAAGACTTCAATGGGAAACGGAGGTTTGAATCCTCCCGAGGGCATGTCACAGCGAAATCCATTTTTTTTTATCCTCGTGTCCGCTCCAGATGAACCCATCTCAAGGTTCAGGGAAAACATATAAAGCCCTCGTCGATTAATAGTGAATCACTTGCTCCTCTTGGTTGTACTCTGGCGAACAGCTGAATTGGTAAGAGACGGAGGTTCGAATCCTCTTGAGGGCATAAGGGGATAATGAACATTTTATTTTATTTTTCAAGTCACCCACCTCGGTATAGAACGGGAAGGGTCGCAATGAAGAGAATTTCTGGTGGTTTGGCCCTTGGTCGAATTTTGAAGCGACTGTACGGATCTTGATCATTCTGCTGCGTTGTTTCACACCCCAAAGGAATACTAGTAGGAAAATGGCCCGCGTGAATCAGCCACCATTAGGAAGCTCCAGAGGGAAATATGTTCTAATTTTCGGTGGGCCTGCCAGCTCATTATTTCTCTATCTCCCAGGCAGACCACTAATGGATAAAGACGGACAATGCCCTCGTTGATTAAAGCTAAATCACCCATGCGAGCTGAAAATCCGGACACATAAAAGTTTAGTGGGAGATGGAGGAATGCAGGAGACATGTTTACCTTTTTTTCGGTAGGAGGTGGTCGATCAGAAATATCCCAAGCACGTGTCGATCTTGAAAGTTTTTTTTCACAGATCCAGCTGAAGCAATGTCAGAGTTCATCGTAGAGCTATAAAGCCCGCGATGATTGAACGGTAAATCATCCACTGTCCTTTAGAATATTTTATACACGGGCCACCGCCTCTTGTAAATATTCCAGGTGCCGGCCAAAGCGATGGATAGCCTGATCCCCCGGCCCAGGTCACCGATCAACATGTGCCACACAACTTTTGCCACAAGCCAGGAGGCTGAGGATGTGACAATCCAGCTCAGAAATACGGAAACGAATATCCGAGCTTGAAGATTTGTTGCCTGGGGTATCCTCGGAGTCGGCCATTGTCGATTCGTGGCAATACAAGTATAGAAAACTAACTGTTGAGGGCTTCAAACTGCGAAATGTGGGTGTAGGTTTCTACCCTCTGTGTTGTCACGGAATTCGAGGGGCAGAAATAGCTTGACAGAAGTTAGTAGCACCGCTAATACTACGACAGGTGGTGCCAGTGGGGAAGCAATGGCTCGTACATGCTGTGCTCCCGGCAATCTCGGCAGAGGTTGCACAGCGGCAAGTGCCGCTGTGCTGATCCGCTTCCGGCTCTGTGCGGCAGGGCTCGGCAGTGTGGATTCTTGCCATACCTGCGACTTGATTTTCTCTAGAATCTCACTTCTCTGATGTGGGGGTGGCTTTTATTTACCACAATGCGTCGGAGGTGTGCTTTGGCTATTTTTATTTTCCAAGTTGTGGAATCCCTGGGTGAACCGCACGAAGATCTCAATATGTCTTTACTCCTGTGCCTGCCAAGCTGCTTGCACGTTATGTATTTTAAACACTGCGGCCACCGAGTCCTCAATGTGTCTGCGTGGCCCAAAGCATTTTTATTTGACTTCTAGAACTTCCCTTGAGCCGCATGCAGTATGAATGCATGGTATGTCCAATTGAGTGAGGTACGAGTTAGAATCAGAGTACGGTGTCTGTCCACTGAGAGAATATGTCCAATTCAACTGTCAATGTAATTAAACAAACTAACACAAAGCACTACTGTTCTTCCGGGGATGTACAATGCCTCGTCTGCCGTGCTAAAAAATCTCACAACACCTTTAATCTCGCATCCTCAATTCAACTTCGGAATCTCCGAGTGCGCTATCCCATGTCTTCTGCAAATTAAATTAAGATGTATCATCGATCCCCGGGAGACCAAACATGCCTTCTCTCATGGACCCAGTTTCATTACTTTGGCAAGTCCAAATATCTTGCGCAAACTTTCTACTGAAGTCCCACCCTCACGTTGAAGTTTCCTTATTAAGATTTCTTTTTTTATGGTTCTGATTTCCACGCGGCACTACTCCCAAATGTAAGACACAGGCCCCGCTAAGTCCCAACTACTTCACATGTAAGGCAAATTTTGTCGACCCTGGTAGGGACATTCCTTCCAAGTTTGTTGACTTGGGCATTGGAGGTTCAAACTGGAATTCTAACTGTGTCTCGATGCGAAGTTCGAATTCATTATGTTTCTGAAGTGATGCGCATTCGTCCAGAACATAATGAGCTCACTTCAATTTTATAGATGGGTACAACTATTGTTTCTCTGCTTTCATTGATGGTGCATGTCCAACAGCGCTATTGGGCGTATAAGTTGTATATGTGAGGTCTGCTAGAGTTGACTTTGTTTGAACGTTTCTCACTAACTATAAAATGTTCTGTAAACTCGGATTCTTTACAATCTAGGTGGATTTAGAAAGTATAAGAATTTGGGCCGTGAGACTGCGAATCGGAGTTATAGGATTTATAGGAGGATCTAGGGAAGAATAATAATTGGGAGAATGGTTGCGTATAAGGGAATGAGTCTGAGATTGCCAAGTCGCAGAAATGCAAGCCCAAATAAGCAGTAGTAAATTCATATGAGGCTACACCAGGTCGCAGCAGACTAGAGGTAGTGTATAGAAACAAGAATCTGTGATCACCGAGTCACAGCAATACAAGTTCAATAAGCAGAGATCAATTTGTGTGTGACTAGAATCTACAATCACCAGGTCGCAGCAAGCTAGAGGTAGCGTATAAGGGCAAGAAATCTGAGAGCACCAAGTCGCCGCAATTCAAGCCCAATAAGCAAAATAAGTTTTTGAGTGACAAGAATCTACGAGTACCTGATTGCAGCAATACAAGTCAAGAGGTAGTGTATAAGAACAGGAATTTGAGATCACCGAGTCTCAGCAATGCAAGTCCAAATAAGCAATAGGGGGTTTGTATGTGAGAAAAGAATCTATGAGTACCTGATCGTAGCAGTACAGTTCCAGTAAATACAAGTGAGTCACAAGCTAGTTCAAGAGTCTGAGATCACCAAGTCTCAGCAGTGCAGGTCCAGCAAGCAACAAGAAGGTGGCAGAGGGCGAGACTTTGTAGGTCGATTCGAGCAGCAAGACTTTGTAGGTCAAAGCAGGAGTAAACAGCAGCAAACAGTAAGTGGCTTGAGGCACACAAATAGAGTGTAAGAAAGTGGGTTAATTAATTCAATATAGTAAACTATGGGGGTTTATATATAATACAGAGCAAGTGAGTCATTTTTCTTTATGACTCTAATCCAGTCATTACAGCTCTTTGTGAGTCAGAAGCATGTCCAATTTCTAGAACATGAGTCAGGGCACTGAGCATTCTAGAAGCTTCTTCAGAATTCCTGGATAGTGGAAAGATTTAGTGGCACATGAATTAGGTGTTAATTCCAGAAGTTGGTCGTTAAACATTATTTTTCTAAGATCACGATTGGAAGGACAAATCCACTCTGTCTCCAAACCAATTGGAGAGATGACAGCACCTGCTGGCTGCTTAGTAATTCATTATATATTGGTCAGTGCAGAGGGGTAGGAGCTACAATAACTGGGACATTGGTGCCTGGGTGATACAAAGGCGAGTGAAACTAGATAAGACACTAGAGAACAGACCAGAATGGTGTACAGAACATAGCTAGTGACTAGGGTATTTATACTATGATATGAGGAGTCCAGGGTCAGGGGTGAACAGCAAGGAGTAGTGTTAAGAAGAGGGCATTTAGGGAGTAAGGGTTAATGTCAGTAATGAAGAGGGTAGATAAAGCAGAAATGGGTGGTGGGAGTAAAGGGAAAGGGTATGAGGGTATCACCCGAGTGGCTGAAAAATCTGGTTCCATCGTGGAAGACAAGAATGAGCATGAGGGGAAGGGATCAACCAAGATATAATGTTCAAAATGTATATTATTTAGAGAGGGATCTCTGCTGGGGTATAACACTTTGCCCAGTCTGTACCATATACAAATTTGTCATATGAGAGCAAGGTCTGTTGTTGGCCAATAACAAGTGTGTTGTGTGGAGACCACAGTCCAACCCTGAGGGGCATAGGGAGCCAAAAGAGGAGTTCCGAGGGGAGACAAGAGACCCAACCATTGTGGATTTGCCAATGCAGAGGTGGAGAAGAGGACTTCAGGTGAAGAGACTGGAATAGAGAATGAGTCCATACTTAATGTATGCATAGAAGAGGAACCCACATTGAGTAAACTCCATCCATTCACAGAGCTGGAACATTGAGGTGGGCCAATGACAACACCACCAAGATTCAATAGACAAATGGTGCAATCATTACAGTCAGAGAGAAAATACCTACCACTGGGTGAGAAGGCAACTGAGGTGACCGAATGGGTGTGCCCCTCCAGTGGCTCCCCAAGTGCAGCTCCAGTTTCTGCATCCCAAATGCGCACAGTGGTGTCAATGGAGCCAGACACAATTCTCTTGCCATCATGTGAGAAGGCGACCGATGTGACCCAATCAGTGTGCCCCTCCAGTGGCTCCCCAAGTGCAGCTCCAGTCTCTGTATCCCAAATGCGCACAGTGTTGTCCTCGGAGCCAGACACAATTCTTTTGCCATCATGTGAGAAGGCGACTGAGGTGACCACTTCGGTGTGCCCTTCCAGTGGCTCCCTAAGTGGAGCTCCAGTCTCTGCATCCCAAATGTGCACAGTTTTGTCATTGGAGCCAGACACAATTCTCTTGCCATCATGTGAGAAGGCAACCGATGTGACCGGATCGGTGTGCCCCTTGAGTGGCTCCCCAAGTGCAGCTCCAGTCTCTGTATCCCAAATGCGCACAGTGTAGTCGTAGGAGCCCGACATAATTCTCTTGCCATCGTGTGAGAAGGTGACCGAGGTGACCACATGGGTGTGCCCCTCCAATGGCTCCCCAAGTGCAGCTCCAGTCTCTGTATCCCAAATGCACACAGTTTTGTCCCAGGAGCCAGACACAATTCTTTTGCCATCATGTGAGAAGGCGACTGAGGTGACCACTTCGGTGTGCCCTTCCAGTGGCTCCCTAAGTGGAGCTCCAGTCTCTGCATCCCAAATGCGCACAGTTTTGTCATT